GCTATCCGGCCAAGTCAAAGTCCGGTGAACTTAGCATCATACCGGTTGAGGTAAATTTTTGCCTTACTTGATATTTAATACGGCGTTTCCCTCACTGACGCGTTGTTGATCTTCTCCAGTAACTGCTGAGCCAACAACCATGCCACCGAGTTCTATCCTGAGCTCACCTCATCCACAGTACTCCATATAATCGAGTTAGCGAATCGGACTAGCGCATCGGTGGCCTTCCTACTGGCCTTCTAACTGATACTTAATACCTTGGATTTGCATTATTGTTGTAGCAACAAAATTTCAACCAACGGTCGCAAAAAACCACTTGACAATTTCACCCTCTTCAGCGGCCCTACTTAGACCGCCCAGTTTTAATTGATACGGCTTTTCCGCCACTGACGCCCTGTTGATCTTCTCGAGTGACTGCTGAGTTGACAGCCACACCACCGAGTTCTATCCTGAGCTCGCCTCATCCACAATACTCCATATAATCGAGTTAGCGGATCGGACCAACGCATTGGTGGCCTTCCTACTGGCTTTTTTACATGTCTTATATTATTCTGTTGTTTTTCGTAACAGCATCTTCAAAAATATTTTGAATCTGCTTGAAAATACAAAAAAGTTCGAAAAAAATGCTTTGTATTTTTCGTGATTTTTGGCAAAACGTTGCAAGTGTGGCCTCAGCGAAAAATGAAATTCTTGAAAGGGCACTTTTGCTTATTTTGCCGATAAAACTTGTGCAACAAAAATTGGCTTGCAAAGCAAGTTTTTTAAGTTCGAATTGTAAAATTTTTATTAAAAAAATTAGAAATTAATTTTCTCAATGCTTTTTATTTACGCTATTATTTTTTGATTTAGATTATCCAGTTAACGCCGTGTTTGCATATGTTGCCACATACACATTTTGGACTGAAAAATCAGGAAACCAGGTATGCCTTGTTTGGATCAATATGCCTTTGCTTGTGGTGTTTTTACAGCATTTTCTGATCATCAGTTTTTTACGGTTAGTAGTTTTGGAAGAAAAAAGTTGAAATTTATTGAATGAAATTTCATAGAGTTTTTCTTTTATTTCGAACTATAAAATTTATCTTGAGATTTTTTTAGTACTACGGAAGATTCAGGTATTTTTACTGATGATTGTTGCCCCAGGTTTACAAATCATAATTTTTATATACGAGTAAGTATTGTAAAAATTTTAGAGATTTAAACAATGAATATTCATGGCTAGGACAGATTGGAGGAGGACGGGGGCCTGAAATCGTCTGTGCGTTAACATATGCAGTTTGTTTGGCATTGCTGGCTTAGCAGCGTGGAGAGGAACACAATCGAATTTTGATAATTAATGAAAACACTGGAAGTGCTATTTAGATCTCCAAAATAAGCAAACCTGTATGTGCAGTGACTTCATAGCCTTCTTTCATCGCTGAGCTGTAAACACAGACGGCAGAATCAGTGCGAAATCGGGGTGGTAAGCTGATTTTCGCATGACTGTG